TTTTTCACCAATGTGTTACTGGCCCTGCAAAGTACTCACATCTTTGTCAGTGAAGCTGCGTGCTCCCACATCTCTACCTTTATGATGCCAATCTACATTAAGATCCACAATTCTGAGATTAAAGTCACAATTCTGAGAATAAAAGTCAGAATTCTGAAATTAAAGTCGGAATACTGAGAAAAAAGTCGGAATTCTGAGATTAAAGTCAGAATTGTAAGAAAAAAGTCGGAATTCTGAGATTAAAGTCAGAATTCTGAGAAAAAAGTCAGAATTTTCAGATTAAAGTCAGAGTTCTGAGGAAAAAAAATTGGAATTCTAAGATTAAAACCCGAATTCTGAGGGGGGAAAAAGTCAGAATACTGACATTAAAGTGAGAATTCTGAGAAAAAAAGTCGGAATTCTGAGAAAAAAAGTCGGAATTCTGAGAAAACAAGTAGGAATTCTGAGACTAAAGTCGGAATTCTGAGATTAAAGTCAGAATTCTGAGAAAAAAGTCAGAATTCTCGGATTAAAGTCAGAATTCGGACCTTTTTCCCATATTAAACTGAAATATAATTTAAAAACCAGTTACCTTTTTTTTAGTGTCCCTAATCCTCTTCCTTAGGGGAAGTTATGATTCCACTAAAACAAGGGGAATAATAAGGAATGTCTTACCCTATAGTAAGTTAAAATGTTAACAGGAATTGTTATGGGAACCACTATCACTGCTGGTTTTAATTCTACTGTAATAAATATGTAGGGCAATAATAAATATAGATTAGCCGCACATTTATTGTGTTTTTTCCCCTCTGTGCTCCAGCAGTGGCCTGCCTGACTGCAGTTCTGCTCTCCAATGTGAAGGAGTCTTCCTCACATGCGAACGGGCCGCGCGCTGGCCAATGGCAGCAGTGATGGCGGTCATCACGTTCCTTACCTTCTTTACGGACTTCAGAGTCGGGACTGCGGTAAATGCAGCAGAGGGCATCTCTCCAACATTCATGTTCACATCGCTGCTGTTCTTGCTGACGGTCAATGCGGAGTATTTCTCCGCGACGTTTTCCGTCTCTTTGTCATATTTAGTGGCCTGCTTGACCTCCGCTTTGCTGTCCACTGCCGTGTCTGTCATCGCATCCGACTGAGAGTTGATACAGGAGTGGGTTAAAAAAAAGCCGGATTTTAGTGGAGTTTTAACTAACGTTAGCTCCGTCTGTCGCCTTCTTTGCTCTTTGGTAAATGGGCTTAAAATGAGCGAAACGCGACAGAATGACTAGATTATCTATTTGAAGAAAGAGAGGACGTTTAGGTTAAGTTTTCTATGTTGATCTGTTCTCTAAAACAGCCGCAGAGGCAGTTGCTGGTCCTGCGTTGTGCTGCCAACCTCAGACTAAAGCATCTCTGAGGGGAGGGGGTGGTAGGCTCAGCCTGTCACCTGAGGAAGTAGGCTGTGTTCAGACAGCGCTCCTACTGCTGGAGGGAAACTAGACCGAAAAGAAACAAATGAGGTCGTATTCGCCAAGACTTCAACGTATCTACGCTCTAATAAGCCGGTGTCAGCTTGCATAAAGTACACGTTAGTCTGCAGAAGCAAGCGTGACCGTTGTCAAGGAGGCTGAGTACAAGTCCCGCCTTCTTTCGCTGTGATTGGTTGACAGCGGGATCAATTTAGCCAATCCGTTGTTTCTGATTGGCTGCGCATTGTTCTGCTTAAAGGGTCCTGTACAGGGATAGAACAAAAACACATTAAGTTTCCTAGTTGCTCCCTATTATACTTTTATCTTTAACATTGGACCTTGAAGTAGGGTAAACGGGTGGAGGTGGAACAGTAGAAGTCATTTCCATAAAAGCAAAAATATATTTATCTACCATCCAAGGGCTTAGAGCAGGGGTGTCAAACTTATTTTCACTGAGGGCCACATAAGGGTAATGGCTGTCCTTGAAGGGCCAGTTGTAACTTATAAATGTAACTAAATGTAAATTAATGTAATGTAAAATAAATGTAACTACTCCTTAATGTTAAATAACTCATTATTTATTATAGCTTATTCAAGTGACAATTACAGTTGCATAGAAAACATATGCTTGCTTGTTGCTCTAACATAAATCCTTTTAAATTTAGTCAGCTTATGAAAACCCACATAACTTCATTAATGAAGGATCAAACTGTCCAAGTGAATAAAGAGATATAACATAAAACTGAGCTGCAAAAAACATGTATGACACATGTAGCATTTTACAAAAAAAAGGCCATACACAGCTTTGCATCCAACTGATGGTTTGATGCATACACACATAAGACCTGCAAACATTAAATAATTAAATAATTACAACAACAGAATCATTCAATTTTATTTACATAAATTGAACGATTACCCCCAAACATTTCCCGCAGACCATCTTTTCACATTTATGGCAAACGTAATATGGGCGGTTTTTTGCTGAAGCTCCTGCGGCTGTTTTCTGTGCCTCGCCAAGGCTGCTCTACTGCGGGGGCTGGAAACTTGCGGATTGTCTGGAACTTTTTTACCAGTTCAAGGATAAAATCTCTGCGTATATAGCTGATATTTCCACAAGATTATATATTACAGCCACAGGTCACCTTCGCGTCAGAGCTTTTACAGAATCCTTTCTAATCATCTGATCCAAAACATCCACCCCGACCTGTGTGTGGTTATAGTAGACTACTTTTTCCATATTAGCTAAAAAGTTCTAGGTAGAATGTTGGTTGCTTGGTAACGGTACCGAACATCAATCAACCGCGGGAAGAATTTACAATGCAACTAATAGAGCCGTCAAAATGAAGGTTGTGGGCGATCGAGGTAGAATTAACCATATTTATTTTTTATGTTTTAATTTTATTTTAAAAAACTACATGAAAATGAAGGAAATATAGAAACAGGAGCAACATGAGCAACATAAATTAAATTGTTCCCTTTAAAATCTCAGAACCGTCAAAATGACAGCTGTGGGAGTTCTAGCGGGCCACATAAAATGACAAGGCGGGCCACATCTGGCCCGCGGGCCTTGAGTTTGACATATGTGGCTTAGAGTATTGTATGTCCTTTTTTAAATCTTGCAGATGCATTGTAATCTATTAAGCGACTAATTACTCTTATTCCCTGGTGTTGTTGAGAAACTTTCAGCATGTCATTCTGTTTGAGAAGAGATTTATTCTTTAAATTTATTAATTTAAATATACAAATAAAATACTGAATAAAAAACAATGGAAAAAAGTGGTTAGAAAGAAAAATTGAAAAGTTAGGGAAATGTGTTTTCTTTAAAATATATTAGATATTTGAAATTGTTTTAACCCTGATGCTGTTTTCACAGCCAATGTCTTGATTTGTTTTATATGTACACTACTTGCTCAAAACAAGCTGGGTGAAGAAGCAACTCCTAGATGAGAGTTGTAGCATTATTTTCTGTGGCTTTTATTTATTTATAATTGTAAAAAATCCCAATAGCCTAATCAAACTTGAATAAGTCTGTTAGGGCTCTTCGTGTAGCACCCCATGCTCTTTTTCCCCTATGACCCTAGGAGTCCTAAAGACACCATGGGTTGGGAAGAGTGGAATAATCTAAATTTATCACAAAATCAGATGCATATCAAATTGTGTTTTTGTTACTGAACAAACCATTTACTCAAGACAAAGATACAATTTATGATGTAATTACTCTCCCATTCACCATTTCATTGCTGGATAAAATTTCAGTGTCCTGCAAGATAAAATATTCGCAAACCTGATTTTAAATAGGTTTTGCAATTTCTCATCAAAACCCATTTTCTGTAACATTTTCTAATGAAGTCAGGAGAACAATAATTGCACTGATAAACCTTTTAGGACTTAAGATAAGATAAATTGAGCCAAACACTGCATGATCCATTGAAGATAAACCTTTAGACAGCAAACCTAGGAGTTTGGGGTTCACCTCCTATAACAAACATACTATAATTAGATTTAAATGCTGATTGCAAATATGTTTCCAGATAATTGTAAATATAAAAAGCATGTCCTTATGTACCATGTGGTATCATATAACAGCCCAATACCCTAAATACATAAGGTTTTAACGTCACTAAATAAAATATACAAATGTTTTGAGGGCTGAGAATCCTTTTGCGCGGAACTTCATGTCTTTTAATTGGAGTGAAAATGTACAAAAACCCTGTTTTTTTCTCAAGGCTTCAGAGGTTTCCGTATTTGTTCTCTAAAGAAACAAGACAGAGTTTTTTACTAAAATTTTAATTGACAGGTTTTTATGAAGACAATGTCATTTTCACAATTATATAAAAAAATATTAACATTGATGCTTCCTGATGGATAAAAATCTTTATCTACAAAGAAAAAAAAAAAACACCTAGGTGGACTTACAGTAAGAAAAAAAATCCTCAACTCTACATGAATGAAGTGTGTAATACAAAGAAACACTATTTTTTCCAGCAATATCCTACGTGCAAATATAAACTGAATACAATGCATCCACAAAACCTGCAAGGGGAACAAAAGTTCTTCTTTACGTCTTCACATTACTATCACATCTCTGCAGTACTATGCAGCCAGACAAGTCCAAAATGTACATGGGTTTAAATAGTTTGTCATTTTTCTTTAGACAAAGAAGAAAACAATAAAAAAAAAAAATGGCAGGGGAGAATAAAATAAAAAATGCTTCAGAAAAAAAAGAAATTGTACCATTTATACAAATCTGAAAAGTGTCTGCTGGAGACAAAAAAAGCAACTTTTTAACAGACCAAAGTTCTGACAGAGTATGGCTTCAGGACTGTCTTTTCCTCTGTGGGATGTGTTACCAAAAAGAGATCCTTTTCGTAAAAACAAAAACCAATCTTGCTTCGGGGAACATGATAAGATCCTCCATTAATGGAAAGACTAGAGAACCCCCCTGGCTCAGCAGTGACACAGCCAGCTCCCAGGAAGACCGTTGAAGATAAAAGAAAAGCCCACAGTGAAAGCTTTGCTGTGTGTTTTGAGGTGGAGAGGACTAAAGAAGAGCATTTCAGATTAGCTGGTCAGGTTAGCTGGGAAGAACAGTCTCATGTCCTGGTGTTTGGGTAAATGCTATGACACTCTGATCATCTGAGTCACTGTCTCGTCTGGGGCTGCGGGGGCTATTTCCTGCTGCAAAAGAAAGACAAAAAAACATATTGTGAGGACTTTTAACGAGGGTCTCTAGTCATTTTATTTCTAAATTCATTATTTTTCCACAGTCAAATTTAGGAATCACATTTTTTACAACATTCTGCATATGAGCAGGGACATTTAGCTTTAGTTTCATTATAAGGATTTTCCTAAAATCCCCGATCATCATCTATACAACTGTACAAATGGGTTATTGAGAGGGTTCACACAATTTATAGTTTGTTTTTTCATCTTAGGCTCTGGCAAGTCGTCCACCATTACCCCTCAATCACTATAAACAGCAGAGCGGTATAATATAGTGGACTTTATAGTGTACTCAGTTAATTGACGCCTGTGCTATCTTTACCTAACAAATCCCATGATGCTATTACAAAGCATTCTGAGATATATCTGCTCGTCTAGGGACCATGAATGCATATTTTATGTCCCTACCTTGAAGTTTTAAATAAATCATATACTAAATATGGAAATGTGCACTTATGTAAATATATATATAAATATGTGAATAAACTTTGTAAATGTAATCATTTTAAATATCAAATAGCTCTAGAACAGCCCCTAAAATTGCCTTTTGTTCTAGTCCTTTCCTCATGATGATCAAGTTGTAAATTGGATAACCGATTAAATAAGTTTTAATATCCATTTGTTTGGTATAATTTTGTTAACATATATGTCCTGTAATTATGAAGAAATTCCTTTAAATATATGAAATATTGTAGTAATTCTGCTCTAGTTATGTTCCTCATTGTACATGCATACTCCTAAGACAATTTAAACCGCCTGGAAGAAAAGAAAGGGAGGCTGGTAACATGACTCAGCACAAATGACATCATCAAGTTGATAGCACTGATCAAGGAAAGCTGCAAGCTAGGTCCTCCCTTCTACTATTATTCAGATTTTCTCAATGTTTTCCACTATAGTAGAGTGCATCACTCAAGGCAAGGCATCACTTCTGATACATTTGTCATTAAAATAAATATTACTATCATTTTTTTTTTCATTTTCAAGCCAAGTTTCATACTAATCAGTAAAGCAGCTAACACTGCTAGCATGAACTTTTGAACACAAGCATTGATTTTCAACCCTGTTACTTTTTTTGTTGTGCAACAGGGCTTCATCTGTCAGGAAAGACAGTATATAAAAGCTTCAATGTGTTTCTTTGAATTCTGTTTAAAATGTTTGACTTTTTTTGTTTGTTTAACTACAGACAGCAAACAACTTTCTTTTTTCTTTCCATTACGTGTTGTAACATCTTCCTGGATGGTAGGATTGACTTAAAATGGATACAGTTGTGTTTTGTATATTTTCATTAGTTTTAAAGCCATTTAATCCCAATTTAATCGATATATCCAGTATTCTTGTACATTAATGATTACTGCTGAAATACAGAAAATAGCATTCTTTAAACTATTGCACTAAATTTTCCTCAAATCCTAGAATGAACCGTATGTATTCAGGATACAAGTAACATAAATACATGTTTAGGTATGTGTAACTCTACAGACACAATTACACTGTTTTTTGTAAAACTGTATACAAAGAAAAAAAACTCTACCTTATAACTATGCTATTAATACTATTTTATTTTATTTCCTTCTCTCCAAGTTTGGAAAATGACGACATATACAGGTGCTGGTCATAAAATTAGAATATCATGAAAAAGTAGATTGATTTCAGTAATTCCATTTAAAAAGTGAAACTTGTATATTATATTCATACATTACATACAAACTCATATATTTCAGATGTTTATTTTGTTTAATTTTGATGATTACAAATGACAACAAATGAAAATCTCAAATTCATCATATCAGAAAATTAGAATATTGTGAAAAGGTTCAAAATTGATGGCCCCTGGTGCCACACTCTAATCAGCTAATTAACTCAAACCACCTGCAAAAGCCTTTAAATGGTCTTTCAGTCTAGTTCTATAGGCTACACAATCATGGGGAAGACTGCTGACTTGACAGTTGTCCAAAAGACGACCATCGACACCTTGCACAAGGAGGGCAAGACACAAAAGGTCATCGCTAAAGAGGCTGGCTGTTCACAGAGCTCAGTGTCCAAGCACATTAATAGAGAGGCGAAGGGAAGGAAAAGATGTGGTCGAAAAAAGTGTACAAGCAAGAGAGATAACCGCACCCTGGAGAGGATTGTGAAACAAAACCCATTCAAAAATGTGGGGGAGATTCACAAAGAGTGGACTGCAGCTGGAGTGAGTGCTTCAAGAACCACCACACACAGACGTATGAAAGACATGGGTTTCTGCTGTCGCATTCCTTGTGTCAAGCCACTCTTGAACCACAGACAGCGTCAGAAGCGTCTTGCCTGGGCTAAAGAGAAACGGGACTGGACTGCTGGTGAGTGGTCCAAAGTCATGTTCTCTGATGAAAGTAAATTTTGCATTTCCTTTGGAAATCAAGGTCCCAGAGTCTGGAGGAAAAGAAGAGAGGCACTTCATCCACGTTGCTTGAAGTCCAGTGTAAAGTTTCCACAGTCAGTGATGGTTTGGGGTGCCATGTCATCTGCTGGTGTTGGTCCATTGTGTTTTCTGAGGTCCAGGGTCAACGCAGCCACATACCAGGAAGTTTTAGAGCACTTCATGCTTCCTGCAGCTGACCAACTTTTTGGAGATGCAGATTTCATTTTCCAACAGGACTTGGCACCTGCACACAGTGCCAAAGCTACCAGTACCTGGTTGAAGGACCATGGTATCCCTGTTCTTAATTGGCCAGCAAACTCTCCTGACCTTAACCCCATAGAAAATCTATGGGGTATTGTGAAGAAGAAGATGCAATACACCAGACCCAACAATTCAGAAGAGCTAAAAGCCACTATTAGAGCAACCTGGGCTATCATAACACCTGAGCAGTGCCACAGACTGATCGACTCCATGCCACGCCGCATTGCTGCAGTAATACAGGCCAAAGGAGGCCCAACTAAATACTGAGTGCTGTACATGCTCATACTTTTCATGTTCATACTTTTCAGTTGGCCAACATTTCTATAAATCCTTTGTTTTTATTGGTCTTCAGTAATATTCTAATTTTCTGATATGATGAATTTGAGATTTTCATTTGTTGTCATTTGTAATCATCAAAATTAAACAAAATAAACATCTGAAATATATGAGTTTGTATGTAATGTATGAATATAATATACAAGTTTCACTTTTTAAATGGAATTACTGAAATCAATCTACTTTTTCATGATATTCTAATTTTATGACCAGCACCTGTAGTTCATATTGTCCTGAGCAGAGGCTTCATATAAATGACAAGCTGTAACTTTTAGGTTTGTTCCATTTTAAATGCAACGTTTTTCTACCCATCATAACTTCTTACTTGCGATAGGCCTAAAGCTGCCTCTTCTTTTTCTTTAGGGGAAAAGAAACGCCCTCCGTCTCCACGCTTACGCTGCATAGCATGACGATGGCGAGACTCGTGTAGGTATTTCTGCAAGAGACAAAGAAATATTAAAACGTTTACCTCTAATTACACTACAGCTCTAACACCAACTCCTAACTCTAAAACGTCGGTCCCAAACACCAAATTCAACCAGAAAAGGTCCCTAATAGACATTAAAAACAAATAAAAAACAAAGTGCTTTAGCAACCATTCACCTTCTTTTAGCATTTTTTCCCCATTTATTCCATATATTATGTTACATTTTGAATTTTAAAAAATCTAAATAAGAAACCAGCATTGCAGGCTGCATAACTAACAAGCAATATGTCGTACTAAATTCTACAACAGTGGAAAAAGTCTATGTGGGAGGTTGGTACTTTTTAACTCAAGGCACAATACCATACCAACTTTATTTATGAAGCACTTTATACACCGAACAGGATCAAAGTGCTGTACACAATCATAAAATACAATAAAATTATAAAATAGAGAAAAAACAAGTGTAAAATACATATTAGTATACAAAAAGAATAGAACAAAGTAAAACCTCTCAAATTGTGCCAAAAGCCAAGGAAAAAAGATGAGTCTTAAGAAGGGACTTAAAAACAGCAAGAGGAGAGGCCTGTCTTATGCTCAGAGGCAGATCATTCCACAGCTTAGGAGCTGCCACAGAAAAAGCACGGTCTCCTCCGAGCTTGCATTTTGTCTTTGGGACCCTCAGAAGCAACTGATCAGCTGACCTGAGGGGACGGGAGGGTGTATAAGAATGTAACAGCTCAGACAGATAAGAAGGAGCAAGGCCATTAAGAGTTTTAAAAATAAATAAAAGTATTTTAAAATTAATCCTAAAATGTACTGGCAGCCAGTGTAAGGAAGCTAAAACGGGAAATGTGGTCGAATTTTCGTGTACCTGTTAAAAGACATGCAGCAGCATTTTGAACCCTCTGAAGATGAGAAATATACAAGTCACTGACCCCTGTATAAAGTGAGTTACAGTAATCCAGCCGTGTGGTCACAAATGCATGGATCACTGTTTCGAAATGCTGTCTGGAAAGAATGGGTTTTACTTTTGCTAGCTGCCTTAAGTGGAAAAAGCTGGACTTTATAACGGCTCTGATGTGCGCTTCCATTTTAAGACCAGCATCCATCTTAACCCCTAAATTTGTAATAACTGGCTTAACGTACTGAGCCAAGGAGCCAAGACTAGTCACGGAATCAGCAGTGGATCTGCCAAAGATCATTACGTCCGTCTTGTCCTCATTGAGTTTTAAAAAATTTAGGGCCACCCAGGCCTTCACATCTTCAAGACATAAAAACAGAGACCGAAGAGAGGTGGAGTTTACATTCTTTAGCGGTAAGTATATCTGTGTGTCATCTGCATAGCAGTGAAAGGCAATCCCATGTTTTCTAAAAATAGAGCCGAGCGGAAGAAGGTAAAGTGAGAAAAGGAGCGGGCCTAGAACTGAGCCCTGTGGGACACCACACGACAGTGGAGCAGAGGGGGACCTATGGCCATCAAGACAGACACAAAAAGTACGTTCAGCCAAATATGATCTAAACCAATCTAGAGCTATGTGACCGACGCCCACCCACTGTTCCAGACGGGAAAGTAAATTGACATGATCAACTGTGTCAAAAGCAGATGATAAATCCAACAGCACCAAAACAACAACGTCACCTGAATCAGTTGCTAAAAGTATATCATTAAAAACTTTTAAAAGGGCTGAAAGAAGGTCCAACTTGGCAATGCTTTAACGGGATTCTAACACATGACAGCTCACATCGTACAAACAAACCAGAACTGACACTGCTGCCAATATAAACCAGTAGAGACAGTTTTAAAATAATCAAAAAGCCCCCGTTTTTCCAGCTGTCCCGACTACAGTAACGACTGTTTATTATTTGGTGTGTTTTCCTTTTTTAAGTGAAACTAAACTGTATACGTGTTCATAGATCTTCTACAACAAACATCCCATACCCTCCTCTCCTTGGGGATCTTGCCCTCAGCCTCCAGTTTGGCCCGGGCTTGTCTTCGCTTCAAAATACGATGGTATTGTTTGGCGTTAACGTACAGAGGCTCCTCCTCCAGCATTTCTGCACCTGGAAGGGGGATGCGCTGCATCGTGGGAACGCTGCCGCCTCCTGGCACCATCTAAAAGATGAAACAACAGAAACCAGAAAAAAGCCATGAAAAACCTGTATGTTTATGACAACATACTGACAAATAAGAAGTTAAAATGTCACCTAAATCAATCAGTTGATTCAATCACAATTTTTTTTATATAAAACAATGTTTTCATCATATTTTTGGATATTAGTGAGCTGATTACCTGATTACTGCTTTTAAACAAAGGATTATCAATTATCTATACAAAGGCAACAGGATAGGGAAGGTGTGACGACTCCAGAGTGGTTAACCTAAATTATCCAGACCATATTGCAAACGATTCAATCAACCTGTGTGATAAAACCACCAGCCGCTGCTGCTCGTTTCCCCAAACTCTGCACCCTTGTGTGAGTCTAGATGTAAAAATAAATAAAGATGCTGAGTACCTCTGCACTGGGCCTTACCATGACCATTCCACCTGCATTGACCATGTTGCCGGAGACAGGCAGGGTGACGGTCACAGTGCCTTGGCCGCTGTTGGTAGTATTGGTGTTGGCGCCCCCTGCTGCTTGGACTATCTGGGCACCTGCTAGGCTGGCAGCGGGGATTGTGATCATTCCTACAGAGAAAAAAAATCGTCACAGACAGGTTTTAATTCACAACTTAAAAAATAAATACATGTAGTTGTAGCTAAAATAGAAAAAAAAAAAAAAAGAGAAATGTACCCTGCTGTAGAACAGAACCATCTGCATTGACGGGCTGGTAGACGATGGTCTGTCCGTCTGCTGTCTGTGCCACCTGTTGCCCCTGCACGCTGATCTGCTGGCTCTGGTTTACAGCATAAAGATGTTAAACAATGACACTCCCTGTCCTAGTTTTTACCTTTTTGATTAATTAGCAGTATATTGATTTATCTTTTAAAATATAATAAAGTTAGCTTTATCATTCAATACTTCCACACCATTAATGATAACATTTGCTAGTATGAAGGCATGCTAAAATTCAAACCTTTCTACTTTCAGAACAGCTAAAATATTTTCCCAATGATTTTATGGCATAAAGTTTATTTAATGAGATGATAGAAGGTGAAATGTGCTGCCCCTCCCCCATATGTTGGGCTAAACTACCAGTCAATTAGCTATTAGAAAGGACAAATATATTTGTTCAGTTACTGGAAAAAGAATTTCAGCTGCTTGGAAATATTTTCATAGAAAACAAACAGTCAAGTTGCGTAAAAAACAGTGCAAGCCACCTTAGCCATTAAGGTATGTGTTTTAGAGCTATGTTCTCTGTTCTCTGCATTAAAACTTTAAAATCAATATTAAATTAAGTTCATGTTAGTGAATTAAAAACATACAAACATAATTTAAAGATGAACAGAAATATGTATACATCATCAAATCAATGTTTTTCAACCAATAAGGGATATTTTGTGATTTGTTATCCTCACACCAGTCCAAACCCCACAGACACCCAGACACAAAAACAAGTGTCAACTGAGATAATATGGAGCTTTGCATCATGAACACAGCAGCATGGTTAATAAAGAAAAAACAGGCTGCCATTATACCCTGACTGTGAGACTATGCCTATAAAGCGGTATCAAAGTTGCTAATATAGACTTGATGACATTACAGACCTGGTTTTGTCCGGCTGTAATGGCCGTCTGGGGCTGCTGGATGATGATTTGCTGAGGCTGACCCTGCTGACCCTGGAGCTGAAGAGTCTGACCGCCTTGCAGCTGTATCTGACCAGGCTGTACCAGCTGGATCTACGGCGACAGAGAGTTCACCATCAATGAAAAAAACGTCTCCATGACCAAAACAAGCATAACAAATAACTTTACATCCTGCGGTAAGAAGGGTCGTTTCAAAACCAAGTGAAACTCCATATCAATACCCAGGAAAATATGTAATACTTGCTGCCATAGGGATAAAGAAATGACTCATAATTAAATGCACAAAAAAAATATTTTCATCATCATAAAAAACTCACCTTTTTCAGTCTCAACAGAATCAAAGATGTTGAATAACAGCGGACATACAAACAACAATTTAGTATCAGTGCTATGCTAATTAGCATTATATCCAGAAACAGCAATCAAGTATTGATATTTTTCTGAGCATCGATAATTTTCTGTCAACCCTAGTAGCAACATTTGGTGGTTAAACCTGATCACCGGTCTTCAGGAAGGAATAAATGACTCGTCATTTACCTGCTGCAGACCTTGAGCTCCGGACACAGGAACCTGCATTATGGTCTGACCCTGACCCCCTGACATGGCCTGCACCATGATGGGCTGCCCTGAGGATGTGATGAGTTGTCCGCCGCTCACCTGTACCATTAGAGGCTGTCCCTGCACCTGCAGAGAGGCACACAGAGCTGTTAAAGCAGCTGATGGTCCCACAGACACATGCATGAGACTTGTAGGGCTGCGTGCAAGGGAAACAAACTTAAGTTACACTAAACCATAAATAAAGCTGTTGTCACTCGTGCAATATTCTTCACTCTCCCTGTGCAATAACACATGCCAAATACTGTGTAGTGTGTGTATATATTTTTTTTTTATTATTTATAAGGTCTGTACATCTCTGCAAGTGCAATAATCCAAGTCAACAAGTGTGCAGTCTTTCCTTAGCCCTCTAATGTGCCGATATTTTTATATCTAAAAGAAACATATTCCAGAACATTACAAGTTTTTATGCTCTTTTGTACTATATACACTCTTTTTTTTTATATTGTTGTATTTTTTTTTTCTTTAATGGCATCTTTTTTCTCTATATAAGCTACTGGAACCAGAATTTCCCTGGGGATGGATTAATTACATCTGTGTGTCAAATGACTTTAAAAACATCTCAATCCACAAACTTATATATATATATATATATATATGGCCACATACTACCTGTCAAAAATACTCTATATTATATTAGTTTTGATAAAATTAATGCAAGAATTCACAAATGTTGTGGCTATTGCAGGATAGACTGAGATACAAAACACAGCTCTAATGAAAGCCAATTTATTTGTAATATAAATAGATTTTTTTTTTCTTTTGAATGTTACTGAACATGTAAAAAAAAAAAGTATGTGTAGATTGTAAGAGAAAAAGTGTGTAAATGTAAAAAGCTAAAATGGTTTCACTCGCAAAAACCAAAAAAAATGCAGCTTTAGGAAGGAGACGCGTCAAACAGGAAAAAATAAAAAGAAGCCTGGGTTAAAATACAAGAACACATTACAGAGACATGGTCATTACAGCTATGAATGAGTTGCAGCTGGGGCCAGAACAGCTGATGCAGCTTTTTTTTTTTATGCTCGACTCCACCAAGTTCATTTCACTCATGCTTCCAGCAGCACATGGCTTCAAAACAAGAACTTTCTGAACTTGTTTTTTTTTGTCTAAAGCAAAGACAAATACAACTTTAGACCGACACACTGGTCTTATTTCTGTTCGCTCTTTTCTTTCACAGCTATAAGAGGAAAGGCAAACGATGAAGGCTGGCAAACATGAGGCACTGTGAGGTGGAACATGCAGGAAACACTTGAGGGAAAGATGATGGACCATACAGCACAGACAGGTCATGAAAACAGCCCTGGGTACGGCATGCAAACAAGTAACTTATTAGGGGTTTACTGAGGTGACAGGGCGGCTGTGACACCACTACCTGGAGTGTCTGCACCTGCTGGCCTTGCGCCTCTGCTTGCAGCTGCACAGCCGTCACTGTGCCCTGTGTCTGCAGGCAAGGCAGGACATCACACTCAGAGAAAAACTTCATACCTTCAAAGATTTCTGCTGCAGTGATATTTGTCTTCTGGTTGGAAATAATTACAACATCATCAAGGGAAATATGACATTTATGCTGAGCAACAGGGCTACAATGTAGTCTTTGGAAAATAAACAACTCTAGCTATCCGAGTTTTTTTTTTTTCCCCTGCAGACGGCCTGATGCTTGTCACTACAGTGTTTTTGACAAATTCACCACATTTTAGCCCCCAGCTGCAAGAGGATCCTGAAAATCCTTGCTACCAGCAGGTCAAATCCGGTTAGAAATAAATCCCAGGACACTTCATCTAACTAAAATTAAAGATTAGATATTAGCGTACACATCAAATAATCTGCAGAAAAACACAAAAGTAAGGAAGAGTTTTAAAAAGATTTTGATTTTAAAAATATATACGGTACAAGTGATAAAGAAATCAGGGGATCAGGTTAGTCGGATGCAAAACAGTATTTCATTATTATTGAGAAAAAAAAGTTCTGTGGTCATTTCACCCCCCATGCTGTTACAAAGTTTTAGTAACCTTGGTAACAACAGACGTTTCATACAAACATACGTAACAAAGCATTGAACCCACAAAAACAACCGATGATTCTGAGAAGATATATGAATACTAGTTACAATCAGGAAATTATGTTCTGGGACTGATGGATCATTTTTAGCAGTAGGAGTTTTTTCATACGTCTCTATTTACTAAAACAGAACCACAATCAGTGGCGAATATTTAACTGCAATAGTTATAGTATAAACCTGTTTAATACAGTAATCACAATGCATTGCTAGAAAAAATATTAATGATTATAATTCCTCTGTGCTCTAGGTATTGATAATAGATGAATATTGGCCCAGGTAGCTGGATTCTAAGGACCATTTTAAGGGCAACACCGAAGCTCAGAGGAAAATATTAAACAATTTAGCTGACATCAACATTATCCACATATTTTTATGCAAACATATGGCAAATAACACATTTCCCGATGTTTTCCATTCTTCAGAGGAGTGCACAGAAAAGTCTCCTATGAAGGCATTCATTGTTTTTTTTTACTGACAATGATGGATATTGCAAATCAAAAGAACTGAAAAGTATCACAATATGGCAAAAATAATACACGTTTTTCAAGGAATATTAAAATAAATTCAGAAAGATGCAACAGACATTGAAAATAACAAACTTGCTCACTCATCTGTTACTTCATAACAAAATTCCCAAGTGGAAAACACAAATTCTGCATCAGATTTGATAATGTTGTGTTAGGATAATCATTGAAGATAAGTGAGTTTATTACACCCTGGTATTGGATGCCTATTGCATGTCAGAACTGATGTTTTGATCTAATTAGGACAGCTCCTCTGTCTGGATATACATTTATAATCTTCATTCTGTAAGTGGCAAAGATTTTGAATGGAATGGGAGCAGCTCCTTCAGCTAAGAACACAGTGTAATATTTTTGATAAGGCTGGAGCCATAGTTGTCCAATCATCTGCCAATGCGTATGATGTAAAATATGATGATGTGACAGACTGGAGATGTATAAAATGCCCTTTTAACTGTTAATCGGGGCCACTTCCTGGGAGGCAACAGCTGTAACTCTAAGTAATTTCTCCGATCTGAGTAAGATTACAATTTCTTTCAGAATCTGTCGTCATGTTTCCTGGTTATTTAATACATATAAGTAATGAAGTGTTATTTGGAGAGATAGAGCATCAGGGTGCATACACAGAGCCTATCTTTAACAGTTTAAAATATGCTTTAAGGTACATGTTAGTAATTATAAGAAACATGGATCTGACAAGTTTAAGGCTTCTTTTATCTGACAGCTATTTGTTCAAACTGTGGGCTCACCTGCTGCTGGATCTGTCCATTAGCAGCCTGCACAACGATCTGCTCCCCAGCTGTAGTGGTGGCAGTGGTGTACTGCTCCATGCTTCAATCTGCTCAGCCCTCCTGAGACAAAGACATGTACAGTTATACAGTCAGCAGCAAATCCACGTCACAAAAACCCTCTAATCCTAACAGATATTATACACATCAACATCAAAATTAGATCTTTATTACTATGTTCTAGTAAATTTAGTCCTTTATTTAATTTCAATGCATTTTGGGTGCTTGAATTTTAGCACGAAAAGCTTATTTATGATGATTATATTTAAAAAATGTATCTCGGGCATATCAAGATATCTGGGGAAACGTAGGGGAAAGATCTGAGTTATATTTCTGCTGATTTTGGTCGCTGTTGTAATAATATGGGGCTAACAAAGCTACCGTCAGAGCTAGCTGGGAGCTTGATGGTAAATTCTAGAAAGAACAAAATGGATGCTCGCTATCTTCATGGGGTAAATATGGCGTTTTGTTGCTTTTTTTTTTTATGGGAAGTTAAAATTTTTAGGTAAACTCGGCTTCATTTGCGAAAGCCGCTTTATTTAACGCTTATTTTAGCACAAAAGCTATCATTAGAGCCGCAGAGAGCTCATGTTTCCCCCGCAGCAGCCCAACACCGAGCAAGAACACGAAGGTCTTTGTGGTTGAAATGATCCCGGCGACACAGCGGTCAAAATTAAAGTCAAATGTAATTTTTTTCCTGCATTAAGCAGGGTTAGTAATTTGGTTGGTCCGTGACAAACCAATCCGTGCTGACAACTACCAATGCCTTCAATCGTGGCTCCCTTACCGTATCTTCACTGTCCGGTTTCCCTCTGATTGGCTCCAGTACAGCTCGCTAAAACCCAATCAACAAAGTGAGCGGACAAAATGGCGCAAATGAAACAACGGCAGCTGGGAGGAGGTGCGCAGCAGCGTGACGCATGACTCCAGGGGATGGGGCTGATTGCAGTACCTCTTTCTGCCAGTGGGTGGTGCTAAGTCTGTTAATCTTCTTCTTTTTTTTTTTTTATGGCGGTTGGTAAGCAACTTATTGATGCGTATTACCGCCATCTACTAGAATGGAGTGTGGATAGGGGACTAGATATACATTCTCCCACAAAACAAAAAAATAAATAACATAAAATTATAATAATTAAGTTAAAAAATCTTATATTCTGTCTATCAATTTCGTTTTCTTAATGTAATTCATTAAATAAAAAGCATTTAGACGTAGAAAGTTTGTCCAAAATATCTAATATTTAATTGCAATTTATTTTCTTGTAATCAACTAACTAATTCCTTTCTTTCAACAGAATATTTAGAACAGACTAACAAAACATGTTTTATTGTCTCTTCTTGGAAACAAAAATCACAATTTTCTTTGGGATGTTTTCCCATTTTAAATGATGTACTATTTAAACTAATCTGGATATAATGCTTTCCTCTTTTCTATATCTTCCTGTTCTCCTCATTGTACCAACTGTTCTTTGAATAGTGTAAAACCACCTTCCAGTTCTATTCTCTTTTGGCTGCTTTTGCCATCTTTCCTAAACATTTTGTTTAATAATAGATTTTATTTCTTTTTTACTCAATGGTATCATTATATCAATATAACTATTTTTTGTAGCTTGTTTTGCATATTAAGTCTGTTAATCATAAAATATGTCAGTTATTATCCTGTTGAATTTAGGATTAAAATGATGCTTAAATAATTTTTAACAGTCATCAATTATAATAATAATTTTAAGCTACATTTTTCTGTTAGCTGTTTACCCTGAAAATGTTCACATAGTTTATAACTGTCGTAAGTGCAATCAATTTTATAAATCCACTAGGTTATCCAGGTATTCACTTAGTGTTATTTGTGGTGAAAACTCCATTTTAATTTCCTTTAAAAGCTGGCTCCTAAACTATATCAAGGGCCCAAAGTGCCATTATACATTAAACAATCAACTTGTTTGCTAAATATTAAAATATTTCCTTAAAACGAAAATGAAATATAGAAAAATATGTAAAAATGTACAAACATTTGGTTAAAAGATGAATAATACTATTATCATTACTTTTTATATTAAATAGTTACTTTGCTACTGCTCCGCCCAAAATTGATTAAAACAGATAAATAGTTATACATATTTATAAAACGATTTTATAAAGATGGCCTTTACTTAATCATATTTAGTTCCTTTAAAACAATTGTTTCATGTTAGCGGGGTAGGACATAAAACAATTGTGTTAAAGTAACTAAATATGATTAAGTAAATGCCAAAAGCGGTTGCATTTTTTTTTCAATGGCAGTACAGTGTTTTACTTGTTTATTTTCTTAACTCTATAACTTATTCTGTTTTTTCTATACACCTTTTTTAAGTTCCACATTTGTTTGAGCACGTTTGATATAATCTTTGGTGCTGTAACACCAAAATATACTCATGTGGGATAATAAAGGGATTTTTATTTTATTCTAAATAGTTATTTCGATATTTAAATATATATATATATATGTTGTTCAATGTATTTCTTTTATTAATATCCTATTTTTTAAACTTATATTTTTTTACTTTTGGAAGTTACTAAAGCTAACTGTCTACGCATCATTGACAAAAAAAAGTATTTTCCAGCTTTATTTATGCATCAAAGATTTAGGGCGGAAAAACACGGTCCTCCATCTCGTTAGGTGGCAGCACCTTTTGTTTACATGCGTTGTCAGCTGTGTTTGGGGAAGTTGTCAAACTAGATAACAGCGTGCGTGTGAGCATGTGAAGACTAAAGAAGGTCTCTTGGTTCTGTTAGTTTCTCGTTATTCGTGTTATGTAAGGTTTTCGTTGATAGAAGAAAAAAAATAATCGTTAAGTTTTGTCAACAGATCCTGCTGTTAGCATACAACGTTAGTGAAGCTTCGTTTGTTAGCATGGCGCGACCTCTGCAGTTCTTCGGCCTCCTCGCTGGGTTTTCAGCTCCCTCCGTTCATCTAAACTGCCTCAGATCTTCCATGAACATCAGCAGCAAAGCCTGGATGGGCCAGAACCGTGTGGGTCCTGATAGAGACAGATCACAGAGGTCCAGATTCAACGACGATGGAGAGACTGAGCTGGAAGAGATGGAGGATAAACTGCAGGCTGTGCTGGAGTAAGATCCATTATTCTTAATGCAAACACACTGATTTTTGTTTTATAAATGTAAACAAATGATCTCATTTCAGCAAGGAGAGAAACAGACAGCGATCAGTCAAATATGATCTAATAAGAAGGAAGATGGCTCCATCTGGAGCCCCCCAGAGGGAGCTAACATGGGCTGCTATTGAACAAATAAGGTAAGGCTCTTTATTTTTTGTCTAAATCTAGTCATCTTTTTTACATTTAATTATTTCTAATTATAGATTTAGCAGTTTGTTAAAGTTTTACCCTTTGAGCAGTTACTTTGTACTGATATAAATAAATAAAGGAATAAAAATAAACATATTTGCTTTTCTGGCTTCTAAAACAAGTATGTGTTTAATTCTAACCATATATACACTATATTGCCAAAAGTATTTGCTCACCTGCCTTGACTCACATATGAGCTTAAGTGACATCCCGTTCCTAATCCATAGGGTTCAATATGACGTCGGTCCACCCTTTGCAGCTAGAACAGCTTCAACTCTTCTGGGAAGGCTGTCCACAAGGTTTAGGAGTGTGTTTATGGGAATTTTTGACCATTCTTCCAGAAGCGCATTTGTGAGGTCGCACACTGATGTTGGACGAGAAGGCCTGGCTCTCAGTCTCCGCTCTAATTCATCCCAAAGGTGTTCTATCGGGTTGAGGTCAGGACTCTGTGCAGGCCAGTCAAGTTCATCCACACCAGACTCTGTCATCCATGTCTTTATGGACCTTGCTTTGTGCACTGGTGCACAGTCATGTTGGAAGAGGAAGGGGCCAGCTCCAAACTGTTCCCACAAAGTTGGGAGCATGGAATTGTCCAAAATGTCTTGGTATGCTGAAGCATTCAGAGTTCCTTTCACTGGAACTAAGGGGCCAAGCCCAGCTCCTGAAAAACAACCCCACACCATAATCCCCCCTCCACCAAACTTTACACTTGGCACAATGCAGTCAGACAAGTACCGTTCTCCTGGCAACCGCCAAACCCAGACCCGTCCATCAGATTGCCAGATGGAGAAGCGCGATTCGTCACTCCAGAGAACGCGTCTCCACTGCTCTAGAGTCCAGTGGCGGCGTGCTTTACACCACCGCATCCGACGCTTTGCATTGCACTTGGTGATGTATGGCTTGGATGCAGCTGCTCGACCATGGAAACCCATTCCATGAAGCTCTCTGCGCACTGTTCTTGAGCTAATCTGAAGGCCACATGAAGTTTGGAGGTCTGTAGTGATTGACTCTGCAGAAAGTTGGCGACCTCTTCGCACTATGCGCGTCAGCATCCGCTGACCCCGCTCCGTCAGTTTACGTGGCCTACCACTTCGTGGCTGAGTTGCTGTCGTTCCCAAACACTTCCATTTTCTTATAATACAGCTGACAGTTGACTGTGGAATATTTAGGAGCGAGGAAATTTCACGACTGGATTTGTTGCACAGGTGGCATCCTATCACAGTTCCACGCTGGAATTCACTGAGCTCCTGAGAGCGACCCATTCTTTCACAAATGTTTGTAAAAACAGTCTGCATGCCTAGGTGCTTGAATTTATACACCTGTGGCCATGGAAGTGATTGGAACACCTGATTCCAATAATTTGGATGGGTGAGCAAATACTTTTGGCAATATAGTGTATATTTGTTCATATATATATTTCTCGAAAGGTCAAACATTTTGCAGCTCAAAGAAAAAAATTATTTTATTGGAAGAAAAGTTTGTAGGTTTGCTGATACTTTCCCCACTCATTTCAGATATCTGAAGCAAGAACAGCCGGAGGAGTGGACGGTAGAGCGCCTTGCTGAGGGCTTCTCTGTTCCCTCACATGTCATCCTGAGGGTCTTGAAGAGCAAGTTTACCCCCTCTAAGGACAGAAAGGCCAAACAGGATGCTAAAGCCATGGCTAAACTAGGCCAGCAGGTGTTGCCTTCAGGCAGTCGGACAAAAGAGAAGCTGTTGAAGTTGGCTGCGAATCAAACACCTGCCATGCTAACATCCGGGAGGACAGAGGATGCTCTGATATCTGTCACTGCTCAGACACAGATGTTGCAAAGTAAAGCTTTAAAATCCGCAGTCACCGTTGAGCCTCCTAAACTACCAACTGGAATTTGGAAAGACTCCACAGTGACGGGGTCAACGATAGATGATGGTGGCATTAGGGCAAAGCCTGAGGAGGCTGAAGAGCATGAGGACAGCTGGGATGGGCAGGTGCTGACAGAGGAAGAACTTGAGGAGCTCCTGGATACAGATAAACCCTCACCTGTGGTGCAGATGGGGAACGATTACTTTGATGCAGAGGGAAACTTCTTGTATCGAATCTGAGAGCATAAAAACTTGAAGATGAAATTGTGTAATGTACATTATTGTACTATAATAAAGTCATCTTAAAAAAAATCTATGGAGGAAAATCTATGCAATTAAATCTTTTTTTTCTAATTGGCCTAGAGTCTAGACCATTTACTTCTAATAGCTTTTATAAAATGGATAAGCTCAAAAGATTCAACTCCAGTGGAAAGAAACTGATGCATGTTTTCTGTATTCTGTATCCAGCTCATGCAATTCTGTCAGAACCAGATATTTTGCTTTAGAACAATTTTTTTTCGAAAATTTCTC